ATAATAATAAATAAACAAACAAACAAGAAGATCTATGAGAAAACAACCTGATTTTTAATGTAACAAGCGAGACAATCTTACGAAAAGAAACAAAACCAAGGAAGGACAAACACGGAACTACGAGTATGTAGGACCCCCCTTCCCCTCGAAAAACAAACAAACACACCCAATCAAACAAACAAATAGAAGAAAACAAATTACATATAAAGAAGACATTTTGGTATAGATATTGATGCTTATCATACTTTCGCTCTGTAGTTACCTTTTGAGGCGGTAACAGTAACACTAATAGTGCCAGCTTTCCACAATAACCACCTGTTCGCTTCCTCCATCCTTTGGCTAGTCTTATGTTCGAAATAATCGAAATTTTACGAAATTGTATAGGTTAAAACCCCTTGCAATATTGTATTTTTATACATATATTATGTACTATATGAGGCAGGACCTCCGAAGTTAACGTTCACCCCCGATAGGACAGAGCCAAATCACTGCCTCAGAACTCAGAATTACAAAGTTCTATCTTACATTTTTGACCATTTTGAGTCACTCAAACCATATGGAGTCAGACACCAAATGTTCTATCTCCTCTATCAAAATTGTAAGAATATTCGTGGTCGTTGTCAAGATATTCAAAGAATTGCATTTGAAAAAGCTTGACATGTTGTGAAACTCAGCAATTTTTTAGGTCAAATTTCTCAAAAATTAGAACTTTGTAAATTCTACGGTAGTGAAATGGGAACGTACATGATGTAATTTGTGTACAGTACTTTCCCAAGGACATATAATTTCGGCCCTAGTTGAGCTTCCCTTGCTGCAGTCCTTCTTCTTTGTGCTCACAGTTTACATCCATGGATATTTATAAGCTCTCAATACATACACCGTATCAAGTTTCAATTGGGCTGCTCCAGGGAAGAGCGACTTAGTCGTCGTCTTCTAGTGGACTCGGTTACAGTATCGAGTACAAGTAGACGAGGTAAATAGGCCCAACATATATTATAATTGGGTTTCATCTCGATTTTTGATAAGTAGAGCTCTGTCGAATTAATGAGGGTATGTATGGGTGTGTGTGTTATTTTTTATTATTATTATTATAATTATTATAATTATAATAATAATAATAATAATAATAATTATAATAATAATAATATATCATTCTTTGTTCCCGCCCTGAAGCACCTGGAGCAGAAGTAGACCGAAATAAAGATTAGGACAGCTACAAAATGTATTAGGAGAGCTCGTCGATTCATCCAGGAGACGGAGCATGAAAGACATACAAACATTTGCACTGCCCACAACCATAAGGAGCAGACACAATTGACAAGAAGAATTTTAAAGGAAAAAATGTTACCAACTAAGTCCCAGATCAATTTGGATTCTCTATTTTCACAAGTCATTCTCTAACTGTAACTTATCTGGACGCTGCATAAACTTCTGAGTTTCGATACCACAGTGATGAAAAAAACCCATCAAGACGAGGTACTCGCATAGCATAGTCGCTGTTCCCCGAACCGATCCTCCGTTTAGTTTCATGGCACCCAAAGAGGTTTTACAGAAAGGTCCTTGATCTTGTTTCTCCTTCTCATGACTTACTTTCTCTCTCTCTCTCTCTCTCTCCCTCTCTCTCTCTCTCTCTCTCTCTCTCTGTCTCTCTTTCTGT